ACACCTGCACCGGCATGTCTGTAAGGAAACGCGCCATTTTGTTTTCGGAACTTGTTGAAACCTGCACGTCCTTCATGAAAGACGCCGATGACGCCGTTTGTTCTTTGTATTGAATTATTGAATCCCCAAGTTTCTTTGATCCTTGCTCGAAGCACGAATGACGATTCTAACTTCTTCAGCGGTTAAGGTAATACACGCTTACTGAAATATTTGCTTGCTTTATTTCTGGCATGAATGATGAATGATTGAATGCTACCTTGGTTGACATGTGCCTCTGTTCCTGGTGAATGCTAGAAGCCGCTTATTTTTTGCTAGTTATCTAATTATGATCTCTTGACTTTATTAGAAACGATCTGGACCTTCTGCGCAGAGCCTCTGACATCTCTTAACACTGACACGCAGCACCAACCAGCAATGGGTTTGCATCTCATGTCTCTAACTGCCTCTGGAGGTCTACCCTTATTTTCCAGGAAGATAGGAGCTGTGGAATCGGTAAGGACCCAACATGAGTGTTTATCTACTGCTGTACCTATTTTTGAATGTTAATGTGAGGGTGAGCTGAAAGGGACAGAATAGTGGCAGCTTGTGAACTCTTCTGTCGGGGGAGCCCTTGCACGCCACTAGATCTGTCATCGAAGTATATTTATTATGTATGTATGTATGAGCCGCTTTTACGGCATACTTGGGTGCTCTGCGACGCCTATTCTCCTCAGGAATCTGTCATGGTAGAGATCCTCCGGAAGCTGGCATCTCTCCATCTCTTCATGGATGCCCTCTACCCACCGTTGGGCTGGACTCCCTCTCCGTCGCCTACCTGGGGGGACCCACTCCAACACCTTCTTCGGCAACCTGGTATCAGCCATTCTCTGCACATGCCCATACCATACCAATTGCTTGGTCATGATATCGTGCACAATCGTCCCCTCAACGCCCATTATCTCTCGGACACAGTATATTTATTATCCTCTGTTAAATCCGGTGAGAAGTAAAATGGTGCTAGTGGCTTTTTCTGTTACACTTCTGAACTCATGGAAAGCTTTCTAATGCCAAGCGCTGTGCTAGAGAGGATTACCACAGTTGACGAGAGTGAACTTCTTCATTCTTGCAAACTCCCCTTGCACAGGTTCAACGAATTTTGTTAGAGGAGTCGTTCAATCTAACTCCTGCTCAATAGGACGCAACTCTATATTTGGCATTGCCGACGCTCCCGCCTGTAAGTCGAGGGGAGTCAAGCTTCAAAATGAGCTTCCACTCTCTAAGTAACGGTTGTAGCCTTGGAAGCTTGTTTTTGAGCTTGACTTACAGGCGGGAGCGTCGGCCATGCCAAACATGAAGTAGCATCCTATTGAGCAGGAGTTCTATTGAACGACTCCTTCAACGAAATCCTCACCTGTGCTGTGGTATCGTTTTTGAAGTGCAAGCTCCAAAAAGCGCAGATTTTTTACACAGATAATGAAGTTAGGAGTGCATTTCAGACTTTGCCGATGCGCTCATTTTGATTTTTGAGGTATTTTCTGCAAGAAGTATCTTTTAATTTTGCTCTAGCAAAAGTTTGCTACAGGCCCATTGATGAGAGTTGTAATTAGATTGTTCGCCCTTCATGATGATTTGTGTCCATCTCAGAGAGGTGCTTTCTCTAATCTCAGTACTGAATTCAAATAGTACCTGATTAATGCTTGTAAGTTGCATTCAGTGAGGATCAGAACCAGGGAAAGAAAAAATTGGACAAATGTCGGGCATTATCCAACAGAAATCTATGTGGTAACTAAGTGGCCAGCTGAAAATTGATGCATAAAGGTTAAATTGACTTCCGTCCAATCTTTTCCTTCCTTAGCTCTAGACGGTTTAGCTGTGCCATGGTGTGCTCTCGCCTGTCCATTATTTGCAATTGACTGTTGAATCACTGTGTCTATCCCATTGTTGTCCTAAAGAAGCCTTAAAATCATGTCTCAAAAGCAGTGATTTGAAAGATCATTGGTACGTATTTCTTTGAGGATTGTCCTCCAAAAGCATCACCTGAATGGCTTCATATCTCAATGTTAATACACGATTCTATCTTTATTGGTTTGTTATCTCTTCCAGTTACCGTTCTCCACAATGGCCTCCTTAAATGGTGTTCACATGTTTTGTAACTCTCATGGCTGTGAGCTGAAGAATGTATATACAGAGGATACTACTGTTGTCTGGAAAACTTTAGAAGATAGGTAAGCATTTTTACTTTTACTGAAATTTTGTTGTACCCATTTTTTTGCAACATTTGACAGGTATCTCTGAGGGTTGGTACCTAATCATAGACTATATCTGACTTGAGAACCTGCTTTCTCCTCGGAGGCTCCAGAGTCTGACAGTGAAATAGAAAATATCAACTGTCAGTAGAGGTTGCTCTAAGAATTGTATACTCTTCAAATTGAAAGAGCCTGGTTGGTATTTATTTGTGGCAATTACCTTGTAACGTTGTGTCAAATAACTTCATGTAGTCAAATTATTTTTTTCTATCCGTCCGTGGAGGCTCAGAACATGTGGAAGGTTTAGTAGTCTTTCTAATTTAGTGAAGCAATCCAGAGGCATTGTTAGGTCTTTTCAAGCTATCACATTTCTGTGTTTTCTTCCCCAGAAGATGATTTTTGGGAGGAAATTTGCCCCAAGAAATGTAAGTGTCAACAGAAGCCTGTTCTACCCTGTGCCTCTCAGCAACAAGTGCCGAAATTGCTGGAGCTTCCGAGTCTGTTGGTGCGCAGAGTGAAGATACCCATTAGGAAGTTTTTCCATGTGAAGCTTCTTTTTCTTCTCCTTGTTTGAAGCAAGTGTAGAAGCCCACTGATTTTCTTGAAATGTTTTGCCCAATGTGTACTTTCAATGCTCTTGCAGAGAAGGAAATTTTGAAGCTGAATTTTGCTCTTAAGAAGTCTCTGCACCTCCCCTTCATAACATTTTGTATCGCTTGATATTCTTCATTATGTCAGTCAAAAGATCAATTATTATTGGAGGTACATCAAATTTTTAATGCAAGGCTTAAGAGTGTATCAATTGATGGAAGAGGGAAGACAGGGATAACTTTTCATGAGAACTGTTCAGTACTGGTCAGATTCAATGAGACTCAATGAAATGTAGTGATTATGATTATGATGTAGTGATGTGATGATTATTTCTCGTTTTTATTACTCTGTAAGAGAGCCCTGCTGAGAGCTAAGGAATATATTTTCCTATTTTGATGTATCAGCATCTAATGTAAAAAATGGAAATGTACCTGGGTATTACCTGATTGCAGTAAGTGCATTAAAAAAAAGATTAGTTATAAAGCAAGCCTTGTTTTGGTACCTACTTTTGTACTTTTTTTTACTAATCTACCTTTCTTTGCCTAGATATTTCGACTCCTATGATGATAATGAAGTAGTTGCAGGACTCAGTAGTTTAGATTACCCTAAAAGGGTATTTACTGTTTGTAAAAACAAGAAAAACTGGAAAATATCAGAAAAGTACAGCACACTCCTCTTGGGAAAGTGCATCATGATCGATTTTTAATTTTTTTATTGCATTCAATTCATCTCAAGATGCTGATCTAAAGTCATCATTGCGCCAACCTTCTACAATGCACCGTTTTCGCACAACACGCCTGGAATGCTTGAATTATTTGGCGATAAAGAGTCGGCAAGATTCCTCATTTCAGCACTCGAGTGAACGGTCGGCTGTGTGTCAATAAGGAAATCAGGGGAATTCCAGCACCTAGTGGCAGTCTTATCTAGGATTCTGCTCGCCTTTTTGCTTGACCATCCAAATTAGATCCGTGAGGAGCATGAATACAGGAAAGTCGGAGAAAAACAATGAATGTCAAACAGACACGAGCGGGAGAGAGATAGGTCCAAAGTAGGCAGGAATAGACAAGAAGACAAGACACTTTCTACGTTTTTCCTTATCCACATCAGACCTGTTCTCAAATGCCTTGTTCATTTTGACTCTTCATAGCCAAATAATTGAAGAGTTTCAGGCGTATTGTGCAAAAACAGTTTGAAAGTTGGCACAATTATCGCTTTTGATCAGCCTCTTGAGATGAATTGAATGCAGTAAAAAAACTAAAAATCGATCGTGGTGCAGTTTACCACAAGGAGTAAGTGGGGTCCTTTGATATCATCAGGAATTCATGCATTTTTCAACTGCATGCAGTTAAGCACTTGCCGAAGTGAATCTTTTTGTCTCGTAAAATCAAGCCAGTTTCAATTTATTAACTCCAATAATCAGGAAATTTAATTTTAAATATCAGGGGCTTCCTAAAGTAAATTTCAGTAGACCACCTTAAAAGTAAATTGCTTATCTTCAACCATCCTGCTTTGATTTAAATTTTGTGACTTAAAAAAAACTAACTCATGTTTTAACATTTCACAGCATTACATTGATTGCTGTTGGAGTCTGTACACAAGAAAGTGTTCTGAACGAACTGTTGGATTTTGCTTTTGGTGCCTTAGTCATGATCGTTGGTTTAGAAGAAATTAGAATGCATAGGAGTGCAGAAAGATTGAAACGTGATTTAAGGGTAAGAATTTTCATAACTTTCAACGTAAAGTTTTAGGGATTGTGGGCATTTTTGAGTGCAACTGCCCATCTCCTCAAGTTTAATTCAGTCCCTATGAATTCCTTTTAAGAAGGATTGTGTTGGTCTCTAATTTATGTTAAAGTTGTGTAATATCATTTGTGGTCTTTATCTGTTGTCATTCTTAATGGGGATGGTAATCCAAAAATTGATGTTGAGATGATGTTGTCAAATGTTGCTAACTGAACCCTAAAATTATCATTAATTAGAATGCGCTATAAAAACAGGAATATCAGTTTTGTGACTGAGGGCATGGGACGCCATGTGCATCAGACCTATGACGATCGGTCCAAGACTGTTGTGTCCATGCCAGTCAGAGTGGTATTCCGCCGAGGGAAGGAAAAGCACTGTCCAAACATTCGATCATTACTCAATTTCCTCTGATAAAATGTTTATTTCTGAGGAAAGTTATAATTATTATTCCACTAAATTTTCAGGAACTTAAGGTGAAATTGTGAACAAAATTATCTGAATAATTGGAAGAAAAATATTTATAAGGTTACTAAGAAATCTTTATTTTATGTATCGAAGGAAATTTGGCAATGCCCAAAGGCTCTTACAGCATTTTTCCTTATCTTGGCAGTATTGTGACATCGTGCATTTTCAGTTTTCCTTTCAGGAACAACTTAGCGCTTCATCATCCATGTGCATGTGTGTGGACAATTTTAGTGTTTTATTGATGGATCAGATGCCTTTTCCAAGACCAGGGGGCTCTGCACCCTGGCCGCTACGTGGCCCAACCCGCAGGGTGCGACGCGCCTTAAAGGCCGCTTCACGGTCAGTGAAATGGCCAGTTAGCAGTCAATGAGCCAATAATTTCATTTGAATAACAAAACGATGTTTCAAACAAAAATTTCTCGCTAATCAATATTCTTAATGACTTTCTCCTTACTCCGAATTTTGATTCCTTATTTGGAAGTCGACTTTGACAGGACCGCATATAGCTGTCCATGACTAAACAAAGGCCTCTGAAAAAAAAGACCCACTCAATTAAAATTCTGACCTTTGAACTCCCCTTCCTCACTTCTGCCCATCGACAGTCTCACTCCCCCTCCTAACCCCGTCCATCGATCATCTCAAAAATGATTTGATTAGAATAGAGAGGATTTCAACATCTCTTCCCCCTCCTCCCAAAGAAGAAAGGTACTTGCCTTATTTAGGTAGACTAAAAGCGGTAGTGGTCTTTTTAATTGGTCATTAGAATTCTCAGAAGTAAACTTCATTCAAGTAAAATAAAGACACAGGTACAGGCATTTAAGACGCATGGGAGCAAATCGGAAGCAAACGCTCAGACATAATTAAGTTTTCCATCAATTTTTAGTGCAGAAGATTGAATAAAAGTAAAACACGAACAAGAATTTAGATCATGGTGTTCAATATTTTGATGATTTCTAATCAACGCTTATATTAATCTTTGAGTTATGCCTCCGAGACAGTGAGTTGTGTTCTTGTTCCTGGCTTTTTATTTGGTGAAAGAGAAAAAAAAATCTATTCAGTTTTAATTCCTCCCTCCATTTTTGTCTCGTTTTTCTGAACATTCATTTATTCTTTTTTGTATTCCAGATAAGTTATCCTGTCTTGGATCGTTTAATGGAATGCATCGATCTTGGGAATCAGTCATTGAGTAGTTCAGACATTCTTTCTCTGGTACCTGTTGTTTTCACCCCTGAAAATTCCTTATTGTTGGTATGTGTGACTCAATCTCATTATCCATCATCGCCATAAGATAATATTAAGTCTGCACCCGTTCCAGACTTAAGAAAGCTTATTAAATTTGGAATGGTCAGCTTAATAGTTAAAATTAACCCCAAGTCTGGTGAAATGGTAGGTGTAGACTTGCATTGGGTGGTGAAAAATTCAAGTTCCTTGAGGCGGAAACTGGATCAAAGTCTTCCTCCCATTTCATTAAAAATGAAATGTCAAAAGAACATTTAAGCCTTACGTTAATTGTGATGTAACTTATCTAATTGTTGAACAGTCTTGGAAAGCCACTTTTTCTAGCGGAATTTTTCTAAAAACTAGGCGGATCTGTATTTTGCTTCTCTCCTCATTGAGACTGATCAATAATTTAAGAAAAATAAGGAATTCAAATATTGGCAATTTACATGCATGAGCCTCCCTGGTCTAAAGCGGAAGCCTAAATGTATTCAATTCCTCCATAAAATAATTAAATAAATATGAAGATGAAAAGATATTTACCTCGAGTTATTTTTATAATACTCTACTAGAGTAAAAATGACCAAAACCTTTAGAAGTAAAGATATGGAACAAATGTTTTTATTTGTGCCCTCAAAGTCCTGAATAATGGACAGGTTTGCATAATTGAGGTGAGGCTCAAACAATTCACAAATTTTGACAGCCAGGCAAAAATTGTTTAAAATATTGTTCAAAATTGAAGCAGTGTACCACTAATAAGATGCTTTTTCTACAATTTGCATTGAACTTTCCTCCAAAAAGTGAATTACAACTGGGACATAAAACATTCAAGCACAGTTTAAGGGTTTCCGAACATCATTGCCTGTCAATAGTCCTGCAAAGAAATCCTAAATTTGTTTCCTTTTGTAAATCCAGTTCTTGTATGTTTCAGAATTGTTTGGAGGTTTGGACGGAAGTCATCAATTCCCAGTTTGGCTGTGTGGTCGTAGAAAATAGTATAGCTGCAGCAACTTCAGCGTGGTGGGAGCTTGACGCACATGAGCGCAAATTGTTGCAACTTCTCATCATGTCCTCTGGCGGTGTGACAGCTACAGATATTCCTGTCTTCTTACCTCAGAGAAGTCCCACTGTACGTGAGGTATTTTTTGGTTCCTCCCCCCCTTTTTTTTTCTTTTTTCCTCTCAATATAATGGCAGTCGTAAGTTCCTATCCTCACCATGTACAATGTATGGATGCTAAGGTACACTCTTCTCAGGTTCTACTGAACAGATTTTCAAAGAAATTTTTTTGGTTGATTCCTTAGACTTCTTCCTAGCTTCAGATAAGAGGATTTTTTCATTATTCTGAAAATGGAAATTTTCATGAATTTTTTTAAAGGAACATTTTAACAAACAGCGATGTGGTTTGTGAGGGTTTTTTTTTATTTTTTTAACTTACATTTTTTATTTCTTAAAAATCCATCCAGTAAATCCTGAGAAAACGGTATCTTCAAATGAGAAGCATCATTTGGACAAACCTTCTTCTCCTGAACAAACGGAGATTGCATCACTAAGTGTGTTACAAAACGTCGCATGACTTATTTAGTGCTGATCACATTTTAAGAAACTTGGTCTTGAATTACAGGTAAAGATAGGTACGTAGAATTAGATCAGGATAAAGAACGAAGATAATTTTTCTTGAATGCATATGACTAACAATTGCCCTTAAGGGGAAGTTAATTTTTTTATCGAATTATTCATTTTCATTCTGGACAAACATAACCCATTAGCAAGAAAACTAACCAATTATTGCAACCATGACCATTCATGGAGAGAGGGACCCTAGTCTTCGGAGGCTAAAGAACCCCGCACAGAGCATGGGCTCAGCGGCTCTCTATGAAAGTTGATGAAACTTTAATAGATTGATATAAAGTTCATAATTAAGGGAAAGCCAAAAAATTAGCTCACTTTTGCGAGTAGAAGCCGAGATATTCGCAACTGAATCCGGGCCATTTTCTATCATGCCGCAGCATGGCGGAAGAATTCCGAGTCCCCTCTCCTCTCGTTGTTAGGCGTTCTCGATCAGACCTCACGTCACTCACGTGAAGATAGGTGCTTATGCGCTTGGCCGGTGCGAATGCCGTAGTCCCTCCCTCTCCCTGCTTCTGTCAGTTCGGTTTCAGCAACTACATTTCAGATTAAACCGGCCGGCGGCGCTGGCACGGGAGAGGTGCGGGAAGCAGGGAACTCCATATCGCACAGCCCGAACGGAGCGTCCTAATGAAAGAAGTGAGTGTAAACAATGCGACATCGTGGTTATCTGGTGGGGAGAGGAGGTTTCCTGGCCGAAATGCTCGAGCAAGGTAAGGCGACACGGAGAATTTACCGCCGCCGCACAGAAAATAGTCCGGGTTCAATCGCGAATATCTCGGCTTCTACTCGCAAAAGTGAGCTAATTTTTTGGCTTTCCCTTAGTTATGAACTTTATATCAATCTATTAAAGTTTCATCGACTTTCATAGAGAGCCGCTGAGCCCATGCTCTGTGCAGGGTTCTTTTTAGCCAAGACACTTTAGCAGTTCGGTCAAAAAATCATATCAAGATATTTCAACTGAAAACACTTTCTCGTATCGTAATCAATAAGCTTCAAGGAATTTTATTCATTTTTATGTGTCATCAGAAGGTGGAAAAACGATACTCGATATTAAAGATACCATTTGATTGCATTTTAATGAACGATTAGACAGGGTATGAAATGAAGGACTTCAGCTTATATTTTTTCATCAAAATTTCAAGCCTTTAACGATGAACGCATGGAATACTTTCAAAACTAAATACACAAGTAAGATACTAATGTTCAGAGTTTACATTATGAACAGTTCATTCAAACTTCCATCTTGCTGAAAAACTATAATAAAAATAGGTCAACCGGGTTACTGAAATTAACTTAAATATCTTGGAAATAGCTCTACACACACAGGTTGGTGTAGAGCTTGGCTCTACACACATTTTCACCATCTTTTGAATAAAGCTATTACACTCGGTACATTTTCCATCGTAAAACATACCATAATGAGTTGAGCGCTCGATTCATCTAGAGTAGACTCAGGTTTTCTTGTCAGCAGGAAGTGTGAATTAATGTAGACAGGGATGGATATTTTTTTACTCAAGAGTTAAATTTTGATAGTGTTAATTGGGTTGAAGACTCGACGGTCAAAATGGGAAACCATGTATCTCTGTTTGCTATGTTGTAGTCTTCCTGTCACGCTTCATTTTTTCCTTGAAAAACTAGTCAACTTAATTTCTAGAGAACTTGCTTTATTTTTCTTCTCTGCCAGCTGAATATTCTGTAATAGTTTTAAGCTGAAGTTGCTTTGTTCCTCTTGGATAAAATAAACTATGTGCAGTAGACATTTCAGAAAATGCAATAAAGGTACATGGTTTCGCACTCTGGCCATCCAAGTATTGAAAAAGGTTTTTACCCAACTGTCTCCTCTTTTATTTGTTATGGTTTCTATGTTTATCACATTAATGTAACCTTATTGAAACTTTTCCATTTACAGGTGCCATTTCGTCTCGTCTCTTGCATGCTTGTCTCTGGTGTTTGGGTGTCAGCGCTGTGTGGACCTGCTCCTAGTCTTTCTCAAATAGAACGATTAACAGCAGAATGTTGGAAGCATGTCACAGAGGTCCTGAAATCTGTCAGTTCTATTGTACCAAGGAATTTTCCCCAGTCTATCATTCTGCAGCAAGGCATAATAGGGTATGTTTATTCCTTACTATTTTTCATTTGGTTGGTAAGAACTTTGAAGGTATTATTGATGTTATTTTTCTGCGCACATGTTAAATGAAATATGTTTTAGTATTCTTACTGTTAGGGACTCCCTGCGTATCCCAATGATCTGAATTCATTGACAACATCATCATCATCACTAATGTCATCATCACCATTTTGGATATTACTTGATTTGAAACAAAATAATCAGAGGATGCTGTGGAGAGAGGTCCACTTTTGGCACAAGGTGCACAATACCGGCCTTTGATACAAGGTACACTCTACTACAGGTATGGACAAATGGAATTTTAGAAAGTCGTCGAAACGCGTAGATTTGGCAGCGTCCAATGGTACGACTGCGACGCCATATTGAAAACTTATTTACTTTCTGTTTTAAGAGTGGGTCTCGTCAATTTCGTGTTATTTTTTTGTGTTCTAAGTTGAGGTTTTCGTTATTTTGAGTTCTATCAATTTTTTTAAATTCATCTGATGACTTATCGAAGCTAAGGGATCTACCAGAACCTCATTTTGAACTGCGCGGCAAAGACGGTACGACTTACGACGTCACTCGATGGCCTATAATCTCAGCGCTGCCACTTCGGCACCCCGTTTGTCCATACCTGTAGCAGAGTGTACCTTGCCTTTGTTATCAGATCCCCCATTTTGTGACGATGTTGTATCAAACTTATGCCCTGCCCTGAAAAAAAAGTTTTGCCAACCTTGGTGCAATATCCCAGTAAGTTTGGGACAAGATTATCACCTAATAATGACGGTACGTTGTCACAATCGTCGAACTGAAGGTTGCGCCCTATCATTGTGACATTATTGTCTCCAAAATTAGCAATAGATCAGAAAAGGGAGAACCGCTATTCTTGGTGTAATATTGTGTTTGAATTTTGACAGTTTTTAGATTTTAATGTTGACCAAAGGTTGCCACTATGTGCATAATGCAGACTGTTATCAAATAAAAAAATAACTTTTTTTTTAAAAGAACATTGTCTTACATTAAGGCACTAAGCAATCTTCAACCAAACCTCAGGGGTATCATTCAGTTCCCTCATTACATAGTACGGTCTAACGAAGGAATTACTTTTGAAAATTGATTCATTTCAGCAAATTGTAATCTACCAAATGCTTTACTCTTTAATTTGTCAAAATTGATTATCTCTTCTTTCGTTTTTATTATTTTTTCAGGTTTCTGCTCATTAATATCCCGCTCTCTAAGTATGTAATGAGTAATACTGTCTCCAACAACAAAAAAGAATCTAGATCCAATTGTGATGTACTGAGAACGTTTTTCTATGAATCAGCCACATCACTTACTAGCCCGCGTGAGTATTTAAGCAAAAAAAAGAAAAAAACATATGCTACTTTATTCAAGACACAGCAGCGTTTTTAAATCTTTGTGAATTTTGTACAACAAAAGCCATTGAGATTTGATTGTAAAATATCGGATGCAGGTTTTTAACGTTGTAGAAAGTTGAACTCCGAATAAGCTGTTACAGCAAGTTAGTCACATGGAAA